AAGAAGAATAAGAAGGGAAAGTTTAAACATGAACTCACACTCAAAAAATAAAGAGTGGACTTGGTTATCTACAGAAATAGTTAAAGGTCTTGCCATGGTTTTGTTGTCTTTTATTGTTTTATGGGGTGTGTTTGAGTGAGAGAGAGAGAGAGAGAGAGAGAGAGAGAGAGAGAGAGAGAGTTCACTGGAATGCCAAGGTTTGAAGGATCCAGAAATTTCTTTTATCTGCAATGCCTTCTCCTCATCTAGGGCTGGTTATGGCCAGTGAGATTCATATTAAGGATTTTTTTTTTTTTAGAGAATGGGTAGAATATATTTAACACATTTAATGCAGACCATATTGATCACCATTCCAATAACATCCATGCTGTGATTAACTAAGGTGTTTCATTCAAGTCTAACCAGTTTCAGTCCCTTCCCCATGCTAACCCCAGCCTCTATATTAACCATACATTCACCCTTCATTCACAAACAGGTGAGAAAACCTAGCTTCAAATCCAAGTCCTATACCCATCCCACCTAAGCCCCAATCCCAAGACAAACAAATCATGCCAGCCACCCAGCACCAATACCCAGCTTCAACCCAGCAAGAGCGCACATGGAAACTGTGTACTCCAATCGCCAATTTCACCAAACTTCACTGCAAGATCCATTTGATCACAAATGTCATTCAAAGTCCAGCTTATCCCAAACCATCAGCCCAGATTAATATCATAAATAAGCCCTCACCTCTAGTTAATCACTATTTTTCTACCATTCCTCCAACCAAATGGTTGTATCCTCTCTGCTACAATTCATTTCCCAATCTCCAAAGTTACCCCTTGGTTGATCCTATAAACCCTCAACTTAGACTCAATTTCCTAAACCAAACTCATGTCCTAAGCACTCATTCCAGTGACGTTACTACCCTACTCTGCTCTTTGTCTAATACTCTCTATCACTCTTCCACCCAGGAGCACCAAATCCTTACATCTATCATAGTAGTACAATGACAGAAAAATTCTGATTTGTGATATGAACCTGAGGTTAACATCCCTAAGCAGCCTGACACTAAATCACCAAAATTGCAAATCCACATGCAGGACCCAGAACCTTTGAATGTAGTTCAATTACCTGACGCCTTATGAACCAGAATCAGAAGGATGACAATGGTCATTAAATAAGTCTTCATAACTGAAAGCCTCTGAGAGAATGAAGAGAACACACAAGGGCTATAGTAGCGACCTTTGCAACAGGGATGTGCTCTGCTTTATTAGTTTGAGAAGTAGGTTCAGGTTGTGGGCAGTGAACTAAGAAAGGTGGGACATACCTGAGGTCAGCCATGCAGAAGGATAACATGTATTACATATCTCATCCGGGGACTCAGTGTGAGTGTAGGAGCTTTGTCAGCACTCATGCCAAGTGGCTTTCCTTTCCAATAAAAGACAAAATATAAAATTCGAGTCAGTTTGTAAATTGTGTAAGATAAATTGAACCAATCAATCTATCAAACAATGAAAAATACTAGTAATTATAAAAAATGAAACTTTAAATATGTATTTCTTTATATTACTGACATTAATCAGTAGCACTTATTGCATATCCAGTGCTGTATAACCATCAGAACAAAGAAGAGAAAAATAGGGGGCGGAGGGATTTAAGAAGGTAGTATGGAAAAGGGAGGAAAAGATGGAAGGAGAAAAACAAAGGTCAGGGAGTGATGTTAGCAATATGGAAAACTAAGAGATCCCAGGTCTCCTCCCTCCCAAAGCAACATTTAGTAAGTTTCCTCTGCCCATTTCTTCTCCCTTCCATGTCATCTTCCAAACCCATTCTTCTCTGAAATATCTTCTCCTACTAAGAAAGTGAATTGTGTAGAACAATATAAAATCACACTGGTCAGAAGAACACTCTCAGTAGAACAAAAGTACTGTCTGAGTTTACTCTTGGCACTAGCCAGGGTTGGGCATATTGTATATCCTTACCACCCTAACAAAGGAGATGATGAAGTATGATAAAGGCTCTTCCCACTGTAAGGATTTCTTTTTTTTTTTTTAAAGATTTATTTTATTATTTATTTATATAAGCACTGGGTACAGTCAGAAGCGCGGGAGGGTGAGAGAATTCACCAGAATCAGAGCGGAGAGCAGAGCAGGCAGACTGACAAAGTACACTGCTGAGGGGAGCAGCGGGCGGCAGGAGAGGTCTGTGCGCCATGTGGGACCCTCACCCAGTGGCTGGGGATCGAACCAGCGCTGCAGAGGCTGTGGGCAGCATTGCAACCCAGCGCTCAACCGCTGTGCCCCCGGGGAGGCCTCCTCACTGTAAGGATTTCTCTTCCCCATTGTCCTTTCTGGTGACCTTTGCATGAAGCTATGTGCAAGTCACAAGCTTAATGAGCATACTGAGCCAATCCAGCCATGACCTAGACCTGAATTCTTTCTTCCTCCATCATCTTATCATAAGCAATTACACTTGCACAAAAGCCACACAAAAATGGTAGGTAATATGGACATCTGGATCATCCAGTGATCACTAAATCTGTTCAGCTTTGATTTAGTCATACAGTGAATTTCTACTTTGTAGAAATGGACGATCTGGTGGATTTGATAACACCCAGTTCATGAAGGCGATTCAAAACACTTCCTTAGTTGATGACCCGTGGTCAGATATCCAGTCTCTACTAGAGACCTGAAGCATACAGGGAACTGGTTTCCTGCGTAATCCTTTGCTGCCAGCAGCATGACCTTTTTCCAGAACTGCCATGGGACCTGCCAAGACATCTGGTCTGAACAGCGGAGCAGATTGTACCACATCCTGCTACAGAACACCCTCTTGTTCTAGACCTCCACTAAAACTGAACGTCATCTGAGTCAACTGATGAAGGGGTCAGAGAAGATTTCCAACTGTGATCTATTCTGCCTCCAAAAAACTAAAAATAGTTCACTAAGTATTGTATCTCTTATTGAATAAAACTATAAGATACAATAGCTTGTTCTGAATGTAGAGGAAATACCCTGACATGTCCCACACCATCTAATGATGTAATAGGCTCCTGAATTTACCTCCTGCTCTCTAACTCTGTATTAATTATTTGTGTTAAACAACAACCAACCACAAATTCTCAGTGGCTGGAATGATTAATTTTCTGTGTCAACATGATGTGCCATAAGGGGCCCTAATTAAACATGAAATCAGGGTGTACCTAGAAGGGTGTTTCTGGACGAGATTAGCATTTGAATTGATGGACCCACTAAAGTAGATTGCCCTTCCCAAGGTGGGTGAGCATCATCTGATCCACTGAGGACCGAAACAGAACAAAAGGCAGACAAATTAAGAAATTGCTCCATTATATTGCCTTTCCCACAAGATATCACACTAATCCTTTACATTCTTTTTTTTTTTTAAGATTTATTTATTTTTGCATACAAGAGCTGGGGTACAGGCCAGAGATGCAGGGGGTGAGAGGATTCACCAGAGACAGAGTGGGGGATAGAACAGGCAGACTGACTGAAATACACTGCTGAAGGGAGCAGTGGGCGAGTCAGGAGAGGTCTGCCGTGCCATCTGGGTTCGAACTTGCACTGCAGAGGCTGCGGATTGCTTCATAGTGCAGTGCTTAACCCCTTGCACCACCAGAGAGGCCCTAATCCTTTACATTCTTGACCTTATGCAGCTAGGATCTAATGAGCAAGACGTAGCAGCTGCTCTATAGTTACTGGTGAGACAAATGTGTGTTAGAGGGTAGGAAAAAGGCCAGTTATGATTTAAGGGTCTTCTAGATCGGCAGAATTCTAGTGTAGTGGCATGGAGCATGTCAAGATATCCCCTCTAAAGTAAAGATTAAATTGTTGCATCTGGCTCTTCCTAAATCTAAGAAAGAGGCAGCAAAATAGGCAGATCAAAAAACCACAAACATGGCAACTTGAGATATCCATGGAAATATGACATCACAAGAAGAGAACAACTCTCCAGAATCCAGCCAAAACCATAGGGAAGATTTTATCTTCCTGTTAAATATAGTTGAAAATTGGTATGATAAAAAATTTAGAAGAATTTCTCAGCCTCTTCATTCTTGGAATGGTCTCAGATTGGAGGGCCCAATATTTTCCCTATATGGACCCTGGCTTTGTCCTAAGACACCTGTGGAGTCTGTACATTCACTTTCCTTTGCAACCCTGATAGCCTTATAGTCAAATGCTAAACCTGAATCTGTGCAGTGTCCGTGGCTGAAGATGTGTATATCCTTAACATCTTTCAGAGAGGTCCTTTGGCACTCAGAACATGCCTTGACTTGTCTATTGGTTGCCTTGAGATTATAATTTTCTTTTATCAAAACTATCATCTCTGCCACAAATACCACATCACAGTCCTAATTATCATTGCCCCCATGCTAACCTAGTGCAGCATGTTCTTGTAATGCATTATTGCCCACCTGCATTTCATTCATTTAAACAGCTAGAAATTTTAGTAATAGTGATGCTATTAAATGCCACTTGCCAATAACTCTGCCACTTAGAAGTGTTTGCCTAATTCGTCCAACAGATTCCTACACTCAGTTCCATCCATCCCGCTGTCTGGTTCTAATTCTTTCTTGCGGATACCACATCATACCAAACAGGCCAGGGTAGGCAATTCTATTGTCCCTATCCTGATCCTACAGTGCTTACTCAGAAGACTCAGTGACCACCACTACGTGTTAACTGGATCATCCAGGCTCAATCTAATTGTCACCTTCCCTCTGCATCTTCCAGAATGAACCACAGCCCTCTTCATGGTGCCAAGGCAAAGCCAGAATGTAATCTCCTCCCTTTCTTGGGAACCCCTCAACTTCCACTGAGCTACCCTAGCCTCCTGTTTTTGTCCAGTGCTCCTTGGCTCCCCATCTCCCAGGCTAACTTTCCCCTGTCTGTGATGACCGCTGACATGAAAGATACACATGAGAAGGAATGCTTTTTTATGGAAAGGGTACTCCAGAAGGAGGAAAGAATTATTCCTGGAGGGGGTAAGCTTGGTGATACTCAAATTTCAGAGTAGCTTGAAGTGTTTGTCATGGACAAGTTGGTGTCAGAGTCTTAATCCACCTTCATTTTGTTAGAATTGACTGTTTTCATGGGAAGTTTCAGACAGCACTTTTGCTGATTTTGACAGGTTAAATACTGAATTTCATCTTTCCTGCAGGCATTTCTGCACATACCATGGTAAAGCTAGCATGGACTCCAGGACTCTTGGCTCTTGCCATAGCTGAACAGGCCACCTGGAAAAAATAGAACCATGTTTAGCTTCTATGTAATAGTGATGATAAAAGTTGGGGAAGCACTCCAGACATCCTCCTACCTCATATAACTTTTCAGGTTTTTCTTACCCATATGTGTTTATTAGATAAAATTCATTTATGTATCCATTCATTCAATAAACATTTACTGAAAACTTCTGTTCAAAGCACTTAGTTCAACATCAGGAATACAAACATTTAAAAGAGAGAGCCTTGACTTTCAAACAGTTTAAATTCATATGTACATGTCTGGGGTGATGAAAAGGAAAAATGACTTTGATTATCCTAGAAAAGTTTGTCTAGAACAGTTTCTGCCCATAAATTCTAGTAGTTATTAAGAAAGCAACACAAGGTACCGCTCTTGAAGCATTGAATGCTATCTTCCTTTTTAGTTTTTTGGGGTGTGTGTGTGTGGCTTGTTTTTTAAAACCCACCTGTGGTTTCCATCAGTATTCCAGTGTGGGAACTGAGCTTTTCTGATCATGAGAACAAATGTCTGTCAAGTAGAGGATGAAACAAGGTGAGAAATAGGGAGGAAGAGAAAGTAAAGTAGGAAGAAAATGGAGTTAAGAGAGATGAAGGAGAAAGGAGAGGAAGAGAAATTGCGAGACCTGGGGACTCTGAACACAATCTCAAGAAAGAAACAACCTTGATTTTCTTTGGGGCTGGGTTGAGACCGCTCCCATGCCTCTCTGTACATGCTAAGGTTTGTTAAGAGACATCTGAAGACATTCCAGCCTCATGATTTCATTTATCCACACTGCTAACAGGCTGTTTTCCTTTAGTGCTCTTGACAATCACACTCAAGAAATATTTTTTTTATTATTTAAATTTTATTTTTATATTTCCCTTACAATTACAACCCCCTTATTTTGACCCCAAGCCCTCCTTTCCCCACCCCCGAACCCCCATAGAGTGTCTCTGGTTCATAGTTTGTTGATTTTGATATTTTCTTTCTTATAGTTATTCTTTTTCCTGGTCCCTTATTTAAGTTTTCTAGATTCCTGCTATGAGAGAGACCATCCGGTATTTTTCTTTTTCTTTCTGGCTTACTCAAGAAATATTTTTAAGAATTTGAAAATATTACTGGATATTTTGCATTCAGTGCTCCAGTTCTGCTGTGATGAGTTCAACTATCTTATACAAGCTTAATCACCCCAAACCCAGCCTAAGATAAACCTGCCCAAGATAAACTCTCCTATGCCTACTTGATAAGACTTCTACTCAACTAACTAGCACCTGATTCCAACTCCCAGCCCTGTCTCTTCTGATAACCATCCATGGCTCAGCTCTAAAACTTAACACAAGCATAACACTAGCCAACCCACCCAAGCCCAGTTCACAGTGTCAATCCCAAACACAGTCCAACTATGTTCGCTGTACCCTAACCCCTAGTTCTACCCAACTTCATCCCTAACTCCATTCAAAATAGCCAACAAAAATATCATTTTCTTACCATACTACATCAAAACATTAACCCAGCCTAACTCTATAAATATAACTGCTCATTCCCTCACTCCCACTTATTTTTCTACATCAAAACATTAACCCAGCCTAACTCTATAAATATAACTGCTCATTCCCTCACTCCCACTTATTTTTCTAATATTATTCTATCTCTAAGTCCTGCCCCATCCCCACCACAACCCAAACTCCAAATTCCCATTGATTTCTCTTTTAGGTTCCCACTTGGGATCCAGTCTTTTATACCTAACCCATAAATCAAGTTCCCATCCCAATGACAGCATGACATAAAATGCTTCATGCTTCAAAACTTCATAATCTGGATCTTCCTGGTGGTGCAGGGGTTAAGGTCTCAGCACTATCAAGCTATCACCAGCCACTTTGGCCTGAGTTTGATCCCTGGCCGGGGAGCTAACCCACATGGCGCAGCAGACCTCTCCTGTCTTGCCTGCTGCTCCCCTCAGCAGTGCATTTCAGTAGATCTGCTTGTTCTGCTCCCCACTCTGTCTCTGATGAATACTCTCACCCCCCCACACCTCTGGCCTACATCCCAGTTCTTGTATGCATAAATAAATAAAATAAATGTTAACAAAAAAACTCCATAACCCCAGGAACAATAACCTCTTGACAGAGACAGGGGAGATCTTGACAGGAGGTGGACCTTGGGAGTAACATCCACAACCTACCCGAAACCAGAAAAGACTTTAGGTGGCACCTACTATATGTGAATAGGAGTCATCTCAGAGATCACCAAGATAAAATACCATGTTCAAGACCCCAGAACCTTTAAGGGTGGCCTGAGTTACCTGAAATCTTCTGAACCAAGATCAGAAGGATGGTCATTGTTAGGGATGACCATTAATTAGAGCTTCATGATGGGCATGTCCCAAGAGATGGAGGGCTATGTTGCAGGGGACTGAATAGATAGTGTCCTCCCTTTATTAGCTCTGAAACTAGGGCAGGGTTGTGTGCAGTGAACTAAAGGGATGAGACATACTTGAGGTCATCCAAGCAGAAGGATAACATGTATCACATATCTCCATTGGGTACTCTTTGTATGTGTGGGAGATATGCCAGCAATGTTATGTCAAGGTGGTCCTTCCTTCCCAGTAAAAAACAAAGACAAATTAGAGCCACTTGGCAATTGTAGGAGATAAATTTGAACGAATAAATGAATGAATGAATGAATGACTCAAGCAAGCAATGAGAAAACTGATACATAACTATAAGAAACACTTTTAAAATGAGTTTTATTATAATTAATTATAACGAATAATGTTTTAAAGCATTTGTCTTTACCCTCTTGACAATAGAATCCCCCATATCAGTAGTAATTACTGTACTGTCAATTCTTTATTAGGCATCTTGGGCTGACAAAGGAGAAGGAGGAGGGAGAGAAAGAGAAAGAGAAACCAAAAAGGTGGGGAAGAAAAATTGAAGAGGAAGTATAAATGGAGAAATGCTTTACATGAAGCAAAAGTAATGGCAATTTATATTTACCTTAAATCTGCCATGTGTCATAATACCTAAATATTATGGCCTAGATATGAACACTTACTTCAGCACTGTGAAGTTTGGTTATATTTTCCACTTCACAGATGAGAGGAAAGTTCAAAGAGATGATGTAACATCCCTGGCCACACATCTAATGAGGCATCAAACTTAGAGACAATACCTTCCTGGCAGTATTTACCTTTGAGGCTTTCATTTTTCTCTGAGTTGAAGAGCAGAAAATGAGAGGTGAGGCAAATATAGAACCAAATTGCTGAAAATCAGAGACTGCTTACTGTTAAGACAATAAATTCAGCCTGAGGAATTCAGTGATCATTCTTTGAGAAATGTGAATGAAACTATTTTTTAGAGGGGGTCACATTGACTTTTCACTCCAAATAGTCATGTAGAAGGTGGATGGGTGGGTCTAGTATATTGCATGAAAGCCTGGAAGTGAGTGAAAAGATTCTTCCAAAAGTGTAGGAAGGAGGGCCTCCCTTGTGGTGCAGGCGGTTGAGCGCAGCACTGTAAAGATGTCCACAGCCTCTACAGTGACAATTCGATCCCCGCCGGCCAGGGAGCAACCCACATGGCAAGCAGACCTCTCCTGTCTCACCTGCTGCTCCCCTCAGTAGTGTATTTCATCAGTCTTTCTGTTCCACACTATTTCTCTGGTAAATCCTCTTACCCTCCTGCGCATCTGGCCTGTACCCCGGCTCTCGTAAAAATAAAATAAAATCTTCAAAAAAAAAAAAGTGTAGGAAGGATTTCCACACCTCACATGACAAAGTAAAAGGAACTGAACTAGCTCTTCCACAGGTAAATGGAATTGTATTAATCCTCCCACTGTAAACAATTATTACACTGGAAAAAATTAGAGAAAGAGTAACTGTTTCAGACATTGAATTAAAGGCAGTGCAGAAATCAGAAGGCAACCTCTGAAATGAGAGAAAATATTTGCAAACCACATATCTGAGAAGTTAATATCCAAAATGCATAAGGAACTCACACAACTCAACAGTAAAGTAATAATAATCCAACTTAAAATTGGCAAAGGACCTGAATAGACATTTTTCCAAAGAAGATATTCAAATTGCCAACAGTCACATGAAAAGGTGCTCAATCTTTAGGGAAATGTAAATCAAAACCACAATGAGATATCACCTCACACTCAGTGGAATAGTATTATCAAAAAGATGAGAGATAAAAAGTGTTGGTGAGGATATAGAGAAGAGAGAACCCTTGTGCACTGTGAGAATCTAAATTGGGTCAACCACTATGGAAAACAATATGGAAGTTCCTCAAAAAATACCCAAAGGACACAGAAACATCAACTGCAAAGAACACCTGCACCCCTTTGTTTATAGCAGCACTGATTACAACAGCTAAGCTTTGGAAACAACCCAAATGCCAAAAAATAGATGACTGGATCAAGAAGATGTGGTACATATATACCATGGAATATTACTCAGCATTCAAAAAAGATAAACACATGCAATTTGCAGCAACAAGGATGGCGCTGGAAGGGATCATGCTCAGCGAAATAAGCCAAAAAGAAAAAGAAAAATACCGGATGGTCTCACTCATAGCAGGAATCTAGAAAACTTAAATAAGGGACCAGGAAAATGAATAACTATAAGAAAGTGAAAATCAAAATCAACAAAAAACTACGAACCAGAGACACTTTTTGGGGGGTGGGGGGCGGGAGGGGAGGGATTGGGGTCAGAATGGGGGGTTGCAATTGTATGGGGGAATATAAAAATAAAATTTATTATTTTAAAAAAAAATTAAGCATGGATATAACAATTCCACTTCTGAGTATATATCTAAAGGGTGAAATCACTATCTCAAAGAAATACCCACATCACCACAAAAAGCACCACATTACTTACAAAAGCCAAGGCATGAAAACAATCTAAGCATTCATCAACAGATGAATCATCAGTTTCATCTATAAGTAAATTTACTGTAATCACAAACCACAACATTGCCCTAAGGTGAAAGGCAAAATGCAGGAACTCATCAAAATAGCATCCGTGACAGCAAGCAGACAATCAAAAATAGTGGATACAAAGAGAAGCAAGAAAAAATAACTTATAAAGAAGAGAAAACCACTCAATGGGTACAAAGCCAGAAGTGACAAAAATGATGGAAATAGCAAGTATTTTAAAGAGTCGTTAAAAATAAGTCCAAGAGAGATTCTACTTCCCGTTATAGTCGTATGCAACTCTCTTCTGCATGAAACAAGTTTAAAACTGAACAAAATTATTTAAAAGTATTGCAATTCACTTGAAAATAGTCAGTGGCAGGCAACAAGTTGACAAAAGTTTACTCGTGAAAAACACCAGTGCAGCAGCTAGCAACGATGACTTTGTGGCATTTTTGTATAAGGATTTCCCTCTGCCTACAAGTATGGGGACTAAAAAGCTCAACTTCACTGTTCAGAGAAGGTGATATCAATTCAGGGTGATCACTAGAAATTTTAGAAGAAAAAAATCTAGAATCGAGAGAAATTTAGAGGGCACTTAGACCATATACCTGTGTGCACATATTCTGGAGACTTCAGAAAACCCTGAAAAAAAATGCAAAGAGTGGAGAGATTTTAAACCTTTCTGCACCTTTGAATGCTTACATTAACCCCCATGTAGCTCAGCCACACAGTCTGGAAATCTCACTTCCTTGAGTATCTAAGTATAGTTCTGCCCAAATCACTGATTGCAGAACCACTCAAGGGCTGACTCAGGTTCAAAAACACTTGAGCAAAGACATTACCAGCTGCACATGACAGAGGAGCCAGATTTAGGAACTTGAATCCACACACTTTAATTACCTGAGACAAAAATAAATAACCCTTGGAAAACACATATAATCTAAATTCACCACAATATATTATATACAATGTTCAGTGTTCAAAAGAAAATTACTACATATACGAAACAGGAAAAAGCCCAGATTTAGATTTGGTAAACATTTAAAAGCTGCTATTATAAATATGTACAAGGAATTAAATATATGTTCAAGGAATTAAATGATGTTAATAACGAGTTAAGGTGAACATAGAAATTACAAAATGGAGTCCAATGAAAATTTAGAGCTGAGAAGTATAATAAATAAGGGGGAAAATTCATTACATGGGCTCAAAAGGATATTTAAGGTGGTAGGGATAAGATTCAGTTAATTTGAATATAAATCAACATTAATTATATACTCTGAAAGGCAAGCAACAAAAGAAAAATAAACAGAGCCTTAGAGACCTGTAGAAGAATATTAAGCAATTGTATTGGAGCCTCAGAGGGAGGGGAAAAAAAGAAAGGAGAAAATACACTTGAAGAAATAATGCAAATTTGGTGAAAAACTTACAGGCCAAAGAAGCTAAATGAATGTAAAATAAACACCTAGAAAATCATAGTCCAATGGCTGAAAGCTGAAAATAGAAAATCTTGAAATCATCATGAGAAAAACACCACCTTACATCCAAAGGATCAGAGCAGCTGGCAACTGAGTTATAAGCATAGATTCAGAAAATACTGGAATGTCTTGCAATCATAGTCAAAGTGCTAAAAAGAAAATAACTATTGACTAACAATTATACATATATCAAAAATATACTCCATAAGTTAAACATTTCTAAAAAAACAAAAAATGAGAAAATTGATCAATAATGGGTTAATGTTGAAAAAAGTCATTTGAAGTGCAGAGGAAGAGCAACAGGTGATAATTTGGATGCATAGTAATAAAAAAAGGACATAAAAAATGGTTAAAATGTGGGTAATAAAAATATATATATACACACATACATACACACATATATAGACACAATATATATAAATGTGTCCAATAAACAGAAATATACAAACATAAAACAAAGCACAAAGAAACAGGGGAAATGACACAAAACTGGTGCTGTTTTGATATTTTATAGGTAGTAAAGCAGTATTTAATTTGAAGTAGATTGTAATAAGTTAAAAATGCATATTGCTATCCCTTGGACAATTACCAAAAAAGTCAAATAAAGTTTAATATTTAGAATCTTAGAGAGGAAGTTTTTTTTTTTTCCCCCCTATGGTAAATCAGGAACTCTGTAAAACCTTACAAATACCAATAACTTATACTCTTTTTTTAAAAAGATTTATTTATTCATGCATACAAGAACTGGGGTACAGGCCAGAGATGCGGGGGGTGAGAGGATTCACCAGAGACAGATTGGGGAACAGAACAAGCAGACTGATGAAATACACTGCTGAGCAGAGCAGCAGGTGAGACAGGAGAGGTCTGCTGTGCCATGTGGGTAGCTCCCCGGCTGGCCAGGATCTATCTAACCCGTGCTGCAAAGGCTGCGGACAGCTTCACAG